AGGTGGTTCAAATGCTTTGTATGATGATTGTTATTGTCGAAATTAAACTTTTAGGGCTTAGAATGCTCAAATGCTCAATTCTAGGGTTTAGGATTTTCAATTTGGGGATTAGGATTTTTTGTCAAAATTATATGAGATTATTTGCATATAGGGTTTTCCTTTCTTATTCGATGCCCTGATACCGTTCTTAAATTTTTTGCATTTAAATGATATAAATTTCTTTTGCATAGGTTGAACACTATGATTTTATTGCTTGCTCTTATGGTGGGAAAATTAATTATGGAATGAATAATATGCCAACGTACGTCGGAGGGGTAATGATGCCATTAATGATCTCGGAATCATATAGTTATTGTGAATTGGTTAATGAATTACACAATTACGACAATTGACTCACAAGGGTACCGACTAAAAATAATATGCAATTAGCCCATAACTTTTGATAGAACGTTCACAGTTAAGATCTCAAACGATCATCATATGAGTATCACGTTTAATTTGAGCAAGTTGCAACCAATTGTTTATTAAAAAGTTATCATATAGTTCGTGCTAAATATTTAACCCTCCAGGAGAATTCTCATGCATGTTAGAGTTGGGAGTTGAGTCTGATGGTTTTCTTTCTTTTTCAAGTGAAATGGAGCGGACTCAATTTTAATATCACAGTGGTGCACCTTCATTCGGTGGAACATTAAATGTCATGAACAATGAAGTTCTTTATGAAAATATTAGGCCGTTAAAAGGGGAAACAATTAAAGAGGATGAAAGAAGCAACGCCTCTGAATATGAAGATGAAGATAGTGCACCAATTGATAGCATGCAATTTGTGAGTGAATATGATGAAGAGAATCCGGATTGGCCAGATGAGGCTTATGTTAATAATGAATAAGTTGAGTACGAAGAACCACCCCCCAAAGAGTTTGAAGATGATGAGTGGATTTGTTCTTCCACAGTATAAGATATGCGCATTGGTGAAAGTTTAACTCATAGAGGAGATGATGATGTCCCTTTCAGGGTTGGTGATTTATTCGAGTCTAAGGACCAATTGGTTGATGCTATTCGTGATTACTCAATTAAAAAGTTGGTCAAATTCAAGCAAATTAAAAGCAATCACACAAGTTATGAGGCGATCTATTTTATGAATACACAAAGGAAAGGTCGGGCCGAGGGAAATGAAGCAGATTACACATGTCCTTGGAAGTTATATGCATTTGCTGGAAAGAAACATAATGGGTATTTTAGAATCACAGAATACCACGGTGTTCACACATGTAGCAATCCAATGTTCGAGCAAGATCACAGTGGTGCTTCTGCCTCTTACATAACACGGTTGATTATGCCAAAATTAAACAAGCAGCTTGAACTAAGGCCCAATAATATAATTGATAGAGTGCTACATACAAATTTCATTGAAATATCGTATAGTAAAGCGTCAAATGCAAGGAGAATTGCGATGACAAAAACATTTGGAGATTGGGAGAAGTCTTACACGATACTGCCTCAATATCTTGATGCGATCGAAAGAAGCAATCTTGGATCTAAATACAAACTCATAACCAAAGAGATCAATCCGGAAGTTCATGAATTCACCTCTGTATATTGGGTATTTGGTCATTCGATCAAGGGATTTAAATTTTGTCAGCCGATTCTTAGGATTGATGGCACACACTTATAGGGTAAATATAATGGTGTATTACTTATTGCTACATGAGTAGATACAGATGGTGACTTATTTCATTTGGTCTTTGCAGTCGTGGAGGTCGAAAATAGTGAAAATTGGGAGTGTTTTTTTCATGCATTCAATTATATATTTTTAATGTGTTGCCTCCTAGGAAAATTACTTTTATATCCGATATGATGAAAGGTATTCTAAAAGTATTGTACAAGAGATTTGGCTCTCATCACAATCACTGCTATTGCTTATGACACATTAGAGCTAATTTAAAAAAGAGCTTTGATCAGATACATTTACAAAACCTTCTTTAGCAAGTGGGTTGTGGACCCAAAATATGTGTGTATGATCGGATACGAGATCAAATGAAGGCAATATCTCCAGCTGTGCATGACTGGATTGAGAGTAGTTTGGGGAGTGATTACGAGGACCAGTGGGCACTAAGTAAAGATGGAGGGAATTAATTTTTCATGATGATAACTAATTGTTCTGAAAGCTTCAACGGGGTACTTAAGAGGGCTCGAGCAATGCCCATACAGGCGTTGGTTACGAGTACATTGTATAGACTCAATCACTATTGTCAAGCGGCGAGAGGATGGGGCACAGTGTTACTCGTTGTTGACACCAAAAAATAAAGAGATTGTAGGAGCTCGTGTCAAGCATGTGAGATCAACGAAGATTATTAGATTTACTGTAGATGAATAGCAGGTTACAGACAATCGCGGTCATAATTATCCTGTTAATTTATGAGGGACACAATGCACATGCACTTGTAACATACCGGAATTGCAAAAATTGCCATGTTCACATGTTATAGCGGTTACGTCCAAGCAATTTGGGGGAGGGGGGGATACTTCGTATTACATATACGCTTCTGAGTGGTATCAATCAATTCACTATAGAAATTCATACAAACGGTGTTTTCATCCCATTGTAGATAGTCGTTACTGGCCACCCTATAACGGGTCACATGTGTTACCTCCTGAATATAAGAGAGAAGACGGACGTCCGCGATCAGTACGCATAAAAGGTACGATAAATGAAGGGCGGGAAGGAGCTCCAAAAAAAGGTGTGGATATTACAGATAATCTGGCCATAATAGATCTCATTGTCCTACCAATCCAAATAGGTAACAATTAATTGGTACAATTTATTTAATTTTTAAATTTATTCTACTTCATTTATTAGTTAATGATTATTTATGAAATCTGTAATTTTATTCTACTTTTAATTTAGCATATGTCATAATACTGACACATCTTATCATCATATGTGCAGATATTTATAGTATGAAGACAGATTCATTGATGTTTGAGGTCCTTTATGACCAAGATCGACACCGATCCGTAAAGATAGACTCTGGGGAGGTAAATTACATTTGTATTATTTTCAATCATATCAATTATTCTAAGTTATTGATTGTTACTAAACATTTGCATTGTTTAATATATGCAGGCCCCGAGTATTACTATAGTTGATCATACTTGTGCATATTCGAGCTGGGATTTGATGGATCCACAAGTCCAATTTTATGTTTGTCAAGCAAGATTCTTTGAGTGTTCACAAATTAAATGAGTGAGACTTAATTGGGCTCTCTTGACGGCATTGATTGAACGATGAAGGCCTGAGACAAATACATTCTACCCGCGCCAAAGAGAGTCAACGATTACATTGCAGGATATTGGGGTTTTACTTGGTCTCAGAGTGGATGTAGATACTATCACCGGTACCAATGACTTTAACTGGTTAGGAAAATGTGAAGAATTGCTGGGTCAAGCTCCTACTATAAAGGATGGTAAGATCAAGCTCGAATGGTTAAGAAATAATTATATGAATGTACCAATCGATGAGACCAAAGAAATCATTAGGAGCTATGCCCGTGCATATATACTTTATATGATCGGTACTATTCTATTTTCGGATTCCACTAAGGATTCGGTGCATGTGAGATGGTTGCCACTTCTTGAGGATCTTGAGGAGTGTGGAGAGTTATCATGAGGAGTGTCGTGTTAGCTTATCTATATAAGGAGATGACCAAAGTGACACTCGTGCAAAACAAAGAATTCAATGGTTGTCTCACTTTGCTGCAGATATGTTCACAACCGGTTCAAGTCAACGAGGATGTCATGCGTTCCCAACTTCACACACAACCAGACGAGGATATTCTCCGAGCTCATGCTGAAGCTGAACAGGGAAGGGGGAGGGGAAGAAGAGGGAGAGGGAGAGGGAGAGGAAAGGGAGTTGTAACTTTTTGTTAAATTCCGATATACTTGATAGGATGTTTATGTTTGAAATTGAATGTTCTGTTTGAATGTTACGTATCCGATTGATTATGATTTTTCAGTAAGTGAATTGAATTTGGGGGTGCAATTGATTATGGATTGGTATGTGTTTATTTCTGTTTGATAAGATATGTGTTTATTTGTGTTTGTAATTGCATTGTGGATTGATAACTTGTGGATTGATATGTATGTATTAGCAGGAAAGATATTTTTCAGCTGAGCAAATGCTGGAGGATCTCTGCCAAATGGTCGGGGTTGGTAACCCCGACCATTTTTGTCGTGAGTTCTGGCCTGGGCTAAATGGCTGGGCTAAAGTTTCTGCTAAATGGTCACGGTTGGGAACCCCGACCATTTTTGAATAGGCAATTCCGAAATGGTCGGGGTTCCCAACCCCGACCATATTTGCATTGACTAAGTTAGTCGGAGTTTCGAACCCTGACTAATTTGGCTTCTAAATAACGGACGGCCTCCTACATAGTCGGGTTGGCAACCCTAACTATTTACGAATGAGATTAAAAAAAATTGACTTACTTTCTCGCCACGAAGCTAACGTGACGAGAAAATGAATCGATTTTTTGTAAATAAGTTTAAAAAGAATCGATTTTAAAGAATAAATTATATAATGGGTCTAAATAGAAAATTTCTTCTTAAATCACACAAGACAAGCTATCGAAATAGAAATGTACTAGCAATCCAACTTCCAAAGTTACTGTTTGGAAGTGGATATAGCAAACATGGTACTAAAGGCCCACTCTCCATCACACCTCCAACGACGGCCCCTGCTACAGTACACCGGTGCCTTTAAAAGCTTTCGAAACAGAGAGTGATAGAGTGTGCGTCTGTCATTTCTCTTCGAAATAATATTTGCACCCGAACCCCCAAATTTCATCTCTCTCCCGAATCCGAGCTCGAGCGATGGAACCAGGACCTTCATCTCCTTTGTCGCCGCCTCCGACGATCTCCGGCCGCTCGCTAACCCTAACTGATCTCAACGCCGACGCCCTCACGCGCTGCGCCAGCTTCCTCAGCCTTGCCGACGTCTGCCCTCCGCCACGTCGCCTACTCCGACGACGTCTGGCTTCGACTCTACGCGTACGCCATCGATCTCTTCTGCCCTTGAATTACTTGTTAGAGTTTGATTCGTAAAGTGATTGAAAACTAGTTATTTTAAATTTACTCAAGAGTTTGGTCATGAAAAGTTCATCTTTTCTTCGCAAGCTGTTATCTTGTTTAGTGTTTACTTGCCAGTGAACAAGAAATTGTAGTAAATATGAACCATATTGATCTTTTCGGATTCCGAAAAGATTACGAAAAGCCATAGAAAAATTTGTGATTCCGAGAAAAGACCATGATTTGATATTTTATTTTTGACCCATGATTTGATATTTTATTTTTGACTAGGAATATAAGTTGATGGAATAACCATCGTCATTAATTTTGATTAAACGCCAGTTAAGAACATTCAAGATGCATCTTGGTATTTGTCCACTAAATGAATTGATATGATCGGCCACATGGTCTCCTTTGTGAATTATCGAATATTTGCTTATTTGTTACATTAGACATTAAATAATTCAAGGACTGATCTTCATCCTACATGCAAAATGAACAGAAAATACTAAATGCATGATTAAGCAAATAATTAATGTGTCTGCTAGTAGCTTGAGTTTGGCTCATTTGTTGATCGGACTAGCCAAAATCAAGCTAAACACCAAGCCGAAAAGGAACTTCCATAAGAAGCAATTCATTTGGCATCTCTAAACGTAATCTTCCCATACTACTTAGCGAACGGTTTTAGCAAATTTGCAGGTTTCTTAATACTGCCAGGGGAAAAAAAAATTCAGGTTGAAATTTCCTTTGACATCGTAGAGTTGACTGATCTCCGTGGTTTTAATAACTATACATGAAAAGAAGGAAGATACATGTAGAAAAAGATTTGTTGTAATTTTCATTTCCCCATGCTAACAGAAGACCAACATGATTCGTGTCTTGAGTGGAAAGTGAACAATATTTATATGTAGTCATAAGGAAAAGAAAACAAATCCACCTTCCATCACAATTATTTTTTGAAAAATAAAATCCAAGTATACGTCAAATTAAAGTGCTGAAAATTCTTACCTTTAAATGCAGATATATACTTAAATAGTTATACTTTATTTATGCATTTATGTATCCATTCACAAGATTGATATGCATTATTTGCGTACAAGTCTCCTCCACTGCATGTTTTGAATATTCTTCTTAAGGAATTTAAAAATATCTTGGGGGAGGCCTAGCTCTAGTAAAGCATAGACCCAGGTAGGGAGAGTTGGGAATTGGGCAGTCCTAGTTCAAGACTGGATTATATGACCTTTATTAAATGTTCATAATTAGTTGCCAGGGAGGTTGCAACTGAAATTGGTGCAATTCCATTGAAGTGTGAATGCCATGTTTTATGCTATCCAAATTTGAAAACGGTTAGGTGAGGTTTCAGAAAACCTTTGGTCAGTTATTGACGGAAACTAGTTACCAAAAATTAATTCTACAAACTCCACACTTGCGCCATTTTTCTTTACATCCCTTAACAAGGACATGAAAGAGAGGGTCTCATATGCAGAAGACAACTAATACAAATTATTTTTAGTGTTATTTGTTTAGTACAAATGTCATTCTAATCGTTTATTGTCTGTATTATGTAATTTTAGAGAGAGGTGGCCATTTCAGTGTATATCTTCTGCAAATAATTGGACAAGGGAAAAATATTTGGACAGACACATTGCAGTGAACCAGTTCAAATTTTCAGATCCAGTGCAATCTATGTTTTCTCAGCATCCAATACCTTACAGTCACATAATGCTGGAGAAAAACAAAGTCTTCGTAGCACAGGTGGGTTTTTCTTGTAGAAGTAGGTTATACTCTTTAATTGTGTAAGTTTTAAGTTCTACTGATGGATCAGTTTCAAATTTCTAAAAAAAAAAACTAACCCATTTAAATTGCAGCTTTTTTATGATGTGAATATTGAGCAATATGCTACCGGACAGGGGTTCCATACACCATACTTGATGTTCTTTTCCATCGTGCAGTTTATGTCTTTTGATAATTGCTTTATTAAATATGCTTATAACATTTACCCTTCAAATCCCATCAAGCCATATTCTTGTATTTTCATGAAGCTAATATTTGTACTTTCAAAATTTGTGCCTCTTACAACAAGCATTTGGTTTTATCTGCAATATTCAAATTCTTGCCTTGTATGTCATCAGTTGTATATGGAAAATATTATATAGGTTTTGGCAGTTTTCTTAGGAAATTTATTTTTTGTCTTTGTCTCATGAAATCCAGGACAAATCTAATTGCCCTAATTTTAAAATCGCAAGCGACTTACTGCCATCCATCCACTGTAGATTGCAGAAGCTTCTATCCTGGTGAGAGAGAGAAAAGCCTTTCATCCTACTTTATTTCACGAATCATTATTTGCATCTTCAGGTGCAAGGACAAGCTTTTTTTGGAAGTCAAAAGAAATTTCCCTGCTTTGGCAGATCTATTCTATCAATCTTTCTCTTTCTCTCGACCTTTCACTTTCTATGGATCCAAACATTAACCCCTCTGTTGCAGCTAATTCTAACCTGATAAACTAGTTCACAACCCCTAATTAACCCGTCCCTCTTTATTTATCCAATCTATTGGCATTTTTTAAGTCTACTTCATTTTGTAAGCAATTCCAGAAAGTAAATTTGCTGCTAATATCAACATAATCTGTACTAATGATTAATAAATAGCAACCCGTCTCAAAGTATTTTGTAAATGGGTGCTCTTGTTTGTATAATGTTTCCTACCATTTTCCATTATCTCCCCTTTCTCTTTGATTGTGGTCTCTCCATGAAACTCCTATCAAATATAAAAAGGTTAAATGGTGTTAGTTATCATGCACAGCCTCGTCATTTTCTACCTTTATTGCTTTTGTTACCTCCTTGAAGCTTCCTTGAATTATGAAGGAAGTAGATGCACCTAAGTACTTGGAAAGTAGTGCTTCCAGTTTTCTGAACATTCTTGCTAGAGGATTTCATTACACACCACGAGTTAGTAATAGGTTAATGTTTTATTAGATGGAATGTATGTGACCAAGGAAACATTGTGTATTAACCTTTTGATGCTACCATTGCCGTTTTATAATTTATTATTTTTTGTATACCCTTTTCAGCATGATTTGAACCTTCAAGTATTTGTTAAATCAAGTTTGTTCTTTGCTTGGAGAGTCAATACAAGCAGCATAATTGAACTTGACAACACCTGTATGATGACTATCTGTTCAACTCAAGGTAAAACATGACCTGTTCCTTTTAACATAGACGACCAATTTGCCTTTAAGGTCATCTGTATTATAACTCTTAGGGCGTCCATTTTGACCCAATCAAGAAGTCAACTAGAGTTACATAGTAAATCCATTTTAAATCCAGCATGTGGCAAGAGACGATGATTTTACTACTACACCGCAGGAAGAAATACAAATTTAATAGGTCATCTAATTGTAAATATGAGCTTATCAGTTATTAGAGCACCATTATATGCAGGCACTTAACTGGAAATCCGTTGTATGATTCACATATGAAAAACTAGTAGGACATGAGTCACATGACAAAGCATCATTCAAATATGCCTTTGCACACATAACCAGAAACTACTATACTAATTTTAATCAAAAGTTATGGATACTAAAAATGCTTAGAATGAAATTTCTGTGGTAATTTTCTTAGTGTCATAATTAATTTCTCCAACACTTTTTGAGACTTGGTCTTGGCTTCAAGTTGCATCTTTCAGTAAACTTGCTGAAATCAGTGGTTGTGGATCTGTGATAACTGGGAAACAAGTTATATGGAAGCGACCAAACAACATTTAAAGCTGCTTACTTTTTGGTTTCCAAATTCGGTTCAATGAAACAAGTATTTTTTCCCTTTCCTATTGTCAATGGTTTTCTTTATCCTAATGCAATGCAATCTCCCTTATAAATAGGGGCCAATTGTACAAAGTATGGGGTTTGAATCTGTCAAAGATGGTGTATCCCGCGTCAATCTCTTAACAGGCCACAAAGCAAGGATTACTTGTATGAGGTTAGTTTACATCTTTATCTTCCTGAATCTATTTTGTGCCCTATCTATTTTAAACTTTAGCATATCCTATTTTTGTGCATGTCATATTTCTTTCATATTTATTTTAAACTTTAGCATACTTTAATGCACAACTATCATAGAGTTCCCACTGTTATGTATACATTGTCCTAATTTAACTCATTTGATGAATTACCTGATGTTGTCTCCTATTTACGATATATCTAATGTCTCCTACATATACTTTTTTTAATGTTCTGTATTTAAAAGATTTCAACACTATTATTTAGCCCTTGCTATTTCATCGGAATAAGCCTTTACACTTTGGTATGTGATAAGATTTGGAGAAAATAGGTTACTGGAGAGACTTCTCCTCACTCTGTACTTTATTATTTATAAAGATGGATTAGTTACAAGTTAGTCTCACAGACAATGTGAGACTAAACCAATGTTAAACTAAACTCTCTTCTAACACTCCCCCTTAAGCTGGAGCATATATATCATGCATGCCCAGCTTGTCACAAATAAAGTCAACTCGTGTTCGACCAAGTAATTTTATAAGAATGTCTGCCAACTGGTGTACTGTCGATACATGTTTTACCGTGATGATTTTGTCCTTGAGCTTCTTACGGATTACATGACAGCCAACTTCAATATGCTTGGTTCTCTCATGAAACACGGGATTTTCAGCAATGTAAATTGCTGCTTTATTGTCGCCATATAGATCCATGTGACCTTCTGGAGGGAGACCAATATCTGTCAATAGGTCTCTGATCCAAACAATCTCTAGTGTCATATTTGTCATAGCTCTATATTCTGATTCTGCACTGGATCGAGACATAACACTTTGATTCTTACTTTTTCATGACACCAAATTTCCTCCAAGGAAGACAGATATCCAGTAGTCAATCTCCTATCAAAAGGACATTCAGCCCAATCTGCATCAGAGAAGTCTGCAATTCTGGTGTGTCCTTGATTTGAGTAGAGAATTCCTCATCCTGAAGCCTTCTTCAGGTATCTCAAAATTCTCATTACTGCATTCAAGTGAGTAGTTCTTGGTGCGGACAAAAACCGACTCATAATACTGACTGCGAATGTGATGTCAGGTCTGATCACTGTCAGATAATTTAGTTTTCTCACCAATCTCCTATACTGCTCAACATCCTCAAGAATCTCGCCCTGATCTAGTAGTAGTTTTGAGTTCACATCCATTTGAGAATCACTGCTTCTGTATCCTAACATCCCGGTTTCTGAGAGCATATCCAGGACATACTTTCTTTGTGACAAAAGAATACCCTTCTGTGACTTTGCAACTTAAATGCCTAGGAAATATTTTAGAGAATCAAGATCTTTGATTTGGAAATGTGTCTGTAAATACTTTTTTAGGCTGTCAATACTAGAAGCATCGTCCCCTGTAATTACAATGTCATCCACATAAACAACGAGTAGAATTCGTTTCTCATTCTGAAATCGCCAAAAGACAGAGTGATCTTTATGTGCATAATAAAGCCCAAATTCTTGAATAGCCGATGCAAAACATCCAAACCATGCTCTCGGAGATTGTTTCAGACCATAGAATGATTTTTCAGCCTATATACCTTTGCATTCTCCCCCTGAGCGACAAAACATAGTGGTTGTTCCATGTAAACCTCCTCATCTAGAATACCATTAAGGAATGCATTCTTAATGTCCAACTGATGAAGTGGCTAGTGATTTGTCGCTGCTAACGAAATAAAAATCCGAATAAATGTTATTTTTGTCACCGGAGAGAAGATATCTACGTAATCCAAGCCATACACCTGTGAATAGTCTTTAGCAACCAGTCGAGCTTTCAGACGTGCTAAAGTTTCATCAGGATTTAACTTGACAATGTACACCCACTTGCAGCCGACGGCTCGCTTTTCTGGTGAGAGTAGGACAAAATTCTAAGTCTCATTCTGTCGTAAGGCCCTCATTTCGTCCTGCATCGCTTGGTTCCAACCTGGAATAGATAGAACTTCTGACACATTCTTGAAAACCAAATATGAGTTGAGAGAAGTAACAAAAGATCGTAAGGTAGAGGAGAGGCGATCATAGGAGACAAAGTTAGAAATAGGATGTTGAGTACAAGTGCTTTCCCTTTTCGAAGTGCAATAGAAAGGTCTTCCGCAGAAGGGGGTACATATGCACTTACGGATTCAGGTTTTTCGGGCAAAGGGCGTGGTGCTGAGGCCAATGTTGGCACAAGAACAGGAGCAGAGCGACGATGATAAACTTGAATTGGGTCGTTAAACCGAACATAGTCTTTGCTAATAGCGCAAAGAGTATTATCAGCGGATGAACCACCACCTGTAAGCAATGACTCTTGTAGGATCGAATAGTCATACTCATCCGGTAATAATGAAGATAGAGAACTAAAATGATTGGGTTTATCTTCGAGGAAGGTTACATCAGCAGATAACACAAGACGATTGAGTGATGGACATAAACACTTGTAATATTTATGCTTTCGGGAATAGCCAAGAAAAATATCTTTAATAGACTGAGAGTCAAACTTTTATTTATTTGGACTGTGATTATGAACAAAGCACAGAGAGCCAAACATCTTTGGAGGAAGTGAAAAGAGATCATCATTGGGGTATAAAATCTTGAAAAGAATTTTATCTTGTAGAACAGAAGAAGACATTCGATTAATCATGTAACATGCTGTTAAGATAGCTTTCCCCCAAAATTCTTTAGGAACGTGGCAATGGAATAGCAAGGTTCGAGCAATATCAAGTAGATGTCTATTCTTTCATTTAGCAACTCTATTTTGCTGAGGAGTGTAAACACAAGAAGACTGATGGAGGATCCCATGTTGTTTAAGGAAACTAGTGAAATTACCATCCAAATATTCCTTTGCATTATCAGATCGAATTTTTTTATTGAAGACTTGAATTGATTGATTATTTCAGAATGAACGAGTTTAAATGTGGAAAAGATTTCAAACCTAGACTTGAGAAGATAAATCCAGGTAACACGAGAGTGATCATCCGCAAAATTGACAAAGTACCGGAACCCTAATTTAGAAGTTATTGGGTATGACCCCCAAATATCAGAATGAACAAGATCAAATGACTTAGCAGCTCTCTTATTGACTCGATTAGGATAAAACACATGATGATGTTTGCCAAGTTAACACGACTCACACTCTAATGAGAAAAGAGAGATTTGAACCGGGGATTAAACAACTTGAGAATAGAGAGAGAGATATCCTAACTGACAGTGCTATTGTAGGTATGATAAGTTTTTGATACAAGCCAAATGTTTGACGTCCAATTCTAGTTTATAATGATCGTTCTGCTCACGTTCCGTCCCAATCGTTTTCCTCGTTACTAGGTCCTGAAAGAAACAATGTATGGGGAAGAATATCACTGTACAGTTTAGAGATTTTGTGATCTTACTAACAGATAAAAGGTTATAGGAAAAACTAGGAAGATAGAATACGGAAAAAAAGGAAGACTAGGAGTAGGATTGGTATTGCCGACATCCTAAATATGTGTACGTGAACCATCAGCTAATATAACTAAATTAGATGTAGGGCTGAAAGATGATAATATACCTTGATTCTCAGTCATATGATCAGTGGCACATGTTTCTATAATCCAACTATTAGATGAAGACGAAGTAAGTAAAGATAAAGGGGTAACTGCACTTTTGCAAGTAGCGGATAAGGAGGAAGACGATGTTTGTGAACTCTGGTACTGTTGGAATAATTGAAATTGCTGAAATTGACGCTGCAGCTCCGCATTATGAAAGACTAACTGTAGTTGACTTTCACTATCAGATGATGTAAAGTTGTCCTGAGCGGTCATGTAAGCATCCTTGGCCTTTTTCTTTTCTAATTCAGGATAATTATATTTGAAATGTCCTGACTGGCGACAGTAGTTACAAGTCTTCACTAAGTCATCGTCATGAGTATGTACGCCTTGAGATGGACATACACGGCCACCTCGTTGACCACCTCGGCTCTCAGAACGACCAGTGTGGTAACATCATCGCCCTCAAAGTTTTCTCTACCTCTTTCAGGACCACCAGTATGACCTCCTCGTTCATAATACTGCCAACTCTGAGTGGCAAGCGCAGAGTGATTCGTAGTTGATGTAAGTGGCTGTGCATGGACAACGTTTTTCAGAAAGTGATAAGTATCAGTCAGAGAACTAATAACGGAGCTCCCTATGATTTGTGGTCGAGCAGAGGAGTAAATGGAATTTAGGGTACCCAAGTAGGTAAGTACCATAAGTTTGTTCCATTGATTATGAATTTGTTTAACATCCCCAGTAATAGGAAAAATCTGATGAAGTTCCTCAGCCAGACGATTAAACTCACCATAATGATCATCCATGAGTTTACCATCTTGTTTCTTACGAAACAACTCTTGAATTACTTCATTTACCCGATTAATATTGCTACTACCCCCTTAGATGTCTTGCAAAAAATATCAAAATTCCTCCACTGTCATACAATGAAGAACTAAATCCTGAATTTTAGGCTCCATAGTATTAAGAATTTGATGCAAGAGGACACTATCATCCAATGTTCAAAATTCTGGTGTTGGAGTAGGAGGGCCTGTCAACAAATGAGCAGTTTTGCCTGGACCTGCCACGTAGATTTCAATAACACGCTTACACTGGAAATAATTAATTCCATCAAGCTTCCAGTCAGTGATTCTATTAGAAAATATCTCTGAAACTTTCGTCTGGACCGTTAACTCAGAATTCTTGAGTTCCTCAAATCCGACCATCATGAAACAGACGAGTAGAGTTCAAGACAATACCCTCCACAAATTGTACTTCAAACTGGAAATAATCAAAGCATGTTCAAATTCAAGATAATAATTCTTGAATTAGTCAGTAGGCTGAACAAGTTCAAGAACTCGAAGGTTTAATTTTGAACCCAAATGTTAAAATGCAAAAACCCGAAGGTTAACATGGAACCCGAATGCTAAAGATGAAGAACCCAAATGTTAAGATGGAACCCGGAGG